TTTTTAAAGTTACCAAAACATTTTCACCGTATTTGACAAAAGTCAAAACCACGTGAATGACATCGTAAGACGAAACGATAGACCAATGCATCATAGTAAGTACAGAACACAAACGATAATGAACTTACGAGACATGTAAAAATTTCAAATTAATTGGAAATGTAGTTTTTGAGCTACACGCTTTTAAAATGTGTGAAATTAAAAATGTCAATGAGTATACGTATACATTATATATATTACATATATATGTCATGTATGCTAGTGTGTATGTGCGTGTGTGCGTGTGTGTGTGTGTGTGAGTGTGTTTGTGCGTGCACGCGTGCGTGCGTGCGTGCATGCGTGCGTGCGTGTGTGTGTGTGTGTGTGTGTGTGTGTGTGTGTGTGTGTGTGTGTGTGTGTGGTGTGGTGTGGTGTGTGTGCGAGTGCGAGTGTGTGTGTAAGTGTAAGTATTAATCGTACAATTTCCTACCATGCAAGCCACCAATAATGTTAAATAACAAGGAGGTAGATACTAATAGACGACTCCGACATACCATGACAGCACGGTGTGTGATTTGAACTGACCGAATCAACCTCCACCTTTAAACATGACTGATGAGTGTTTTATCGCCAGTGCCTAGTCTAATGACATACGGTGCCAACTGTCACATTTTATTAGTCAGAAGGGTTATGAAGCATAGTGAATGTAGATCTAGACAGTTACTGTTCGGACCTCTCAATTATTTTGTACTTGAGAATTGTACAACTTATTTTCTTTCAAAGATTGTCTACAGTGAATGTAGACAGTTACTGTTCGTCTACAGTGAATGTAGACAGTTACTGTTCGTCTACAGTGAATGTAGACAGTTACTGTTCGTCTACAGTGAATGTAGACAGTTACTGTTCGTCTACAGTGAATGTAGACAGTTACTGTTCGTCTACAGTGAATGTAGACAGTTACTGTTCGTCTACAGTGAATGTAGACAGTTACTGTTCGTCTACAGTGAATATAGACAGTTACTGTTCGTCTACAGTGAATGTAGACAGTTACTGTTCGTCTACAGTGAATATAGACAGTTACTGTTCGTCTACAGTGAATGTAGACAGTTACTGTTCGTCTACAGTGAATATAGACAGTTACTGTTCGTCTACAGTGAATATAGACAGTTACTGTTCGTCTACAGTGAATGTAGACAGTTACTGTTCGTCTACAGTGAATATAGACAGTTACTGTTCGTCTACAGTGAATATAGACAGTTACTGTTCGTCTACAGTGAATGTAGACAGTTACTGTTCGTCTACAGTGAATGTAGACAGTTACTGTTCGGACCTCACAATTATTTTGTACTTGTAGACATAAATGTATTTTCTTTTCAAGATTGTGGTCTACGTAGTAAAGGCGTCTCTACAGTGGACTGACCTGACGTTCGTTGAGGAAAATACACTATGTTGGTAGTTAAAATTGGCAGGAGAGGTCATTTATATATATTTATATATTTATTCAATGTATACTGTTATATTTTATCACACACATGATATGTATATTTTCATAAAACTCACAAACACACACACACACTCGCACACACACACACACACACACACACACACACACACACACACACACACACACACACACACACACAAAGAGAGAGAGAGACAGAGAGAGAGGCAGAGAGAGACAGAGAGAGACAGAGAAAGAGAAAGAGAGACAGAGAGAGAGGCAGGGAGAGACAGAGAGAGACAGAGAGTAACAGAGAGAGACAGAGAGAGAGAAAGAGAGAGAGAGAGACAGAGAGAGACAGAGAGAGAGAGAGAGAGAGGGCGGTGGTTAATAAATTACCAAGTTCGTTCGTTCGACGGTCATTCAGTTAACTACTTCGTTGTATGCAAGGAGCAAGTTGTCAACAAGTCGTCTCTCTTCCCCTTCCATAAATGACGCCATACTTCTAAGCCGTGTCATGAGTGGAGATTTCATTGTGTGTACAAGGCCTTATGGTAAGTTGGCTTGTGGCGTCGGTGGCCTAGTGGTTAGGCTCTCGGACTCGCAACCGTAAGGTCGTGGGTTCGAATCCCGTCATGGACCCAACGTTGAGTCCTTGGGAAAGGCACTTTACACGAATTTTCCTCACTTCACCAAGGTGGGAATGGGTACTCAGCTATAGACAGCGAAAGATCTTGTCAGTGTGTTAGTGTTTGAGCGCTTAATCAGCTGTTTGCACTGTATGCTTTCTGGGAAGCTGAGAAAGTTTCGGAGTGTTCTATGGTCTGCTGGGGTAATGATATAGTGTAAAGCGCATAGAGCCTGCTGTTGAGCGGGGATATGCGCTATACAAATGCTATCTATTATAATTTAGCTGTGTAATAAGTAAGCTTGTTAGTTCGGTAGGTTATTGCGTAATGAGTCACATAGTTAGTTTGGTAGTTAATTGCACAACAAGCGAATTGGTTAATTTGGTAGTTAATCGCTCCCTAACTGATTAGTTTGGTAGTTCATTGCGCAACAAGCGACTTGGTTAATTTGGTAGTTAATCGCTCCCTAACTGATTAGTTTGGTAGTTCATTGCGCAACAAGCGAATTGGTTAATTTGGTAGTTAATCGCTCCCTAACTGATTAGTTTGGTAGTTCATTGCGCAACAAGCGAATTGGTTAATTTGGTAGTTAATCGCTCCCTAACTGGTTACACTTTTCCTTTAGACTATATCCCCCAAAACAGAGACTCCAAAATGGTTTTTTTTTCTTAGATTTCACAGTAGTTGGACGTTCCTTCTCGCACCTCTTTGATCAATAAAACACTCCTTCTCCTGCCATTCTGAGCGCTTGCGTTGTTTTGATTCCAAGCCAGATTTCAGTGTTTTGTTATCATCTTCAGTAAGGTCTTCCCCTTCGGTTCTTTTGCCTCTACCTTTGCTTCCACTGAGAATCATTCCATTCTACCTTTGCTTCCACTGAGAATCATTCCATTCTACCTTTGCTTCCACTGAGAATCATTCCATTCTACCTTTGCTTCCACTGAGAATCATTACATTCTACCTTTGCTTCCACTGAGAATCATTACATCTATGTTGCTCTAGAGAATCGTGGTGTTTGGTTCGCTCAAAGTAGAACAGTTTCAGGTTTGTTTTGTTTTGTTTTAGTAAGGTTTTACGGCGCTCGCAACTGCGCAAGGTCATATGAGCGCCAAGGGGTGGATGTCAACAGAGAAGTCCAAAGGGGGAATTAGTCTTACTCTGCTCACCTCTCTAGCCTCAACAGGAAAAAGTCTGCTTCGACTATCAAGGCACCCCGGAAATAGCAGTTCCCACGAGTGTGACAAACATGCAAATGAAGTAGAGAAAAATGACGACAGTAAGGATGAGGAAAGAAAAAGTGACATTTCCCCCATGTTGTTCCGGCACAGTATGAGCATGACATTGATGAATCGGCCCATTTACAATTCTACTGTGCATAAGAACATGGTAATACCCACCCTTTGGGAATGGGGTAAAGACACTTCAGTCAGTAGTACTACCCAGGTGGGGGACAGTTTCAGGTTTATTACGTTCTTGGGCAGTGCTGGTGTTCCTACAGCAAGCTGTTCTACCTCGTACTTCTTCGTTCTTTATTTTCTTTCTCCACGATATTCGTTGAGTTTTTAGAATTCTGCTGCACTTTGAAATTCAACACCACCAATATGCTATTTTTATAACGTGACCTACTTTATAAACTGGCCTAACTAGTATTACTCATGAGAAAGAATAAAAGGTAAAGACTCAAAAGATTAGATTTCAAACACAATAAAAAAAATGGAACCTTGTATTTTTTAAATCACCAGTACAATACTAGTCCTAATTTTAAGCCCAAGGCTCTCAAAACAGCCCACCCGTACACTTGACTGTCTCGTTCAAGATAACAGTGTCATCAATATGATTGTGACGCGATGATTGAACCAAATGCACTTACCTGTGATGTCTTTTAAGTGCATGTGACCACTGAATGATGAACGCCGCCGAGACCCACATACAAGGGATTTGGCTTTTTTCTTTCTGTCAGGTTCTTTTTTTTTTCTTTAAAAAAAAAGAAGTATTTTCGTGGTTAAGTCTTACAAGCTGCTTTTTTACTTTCTATTAGTTAGCTGTTGTTTTTTTAAATTATAAAGTATTTTCTTTGTTAAGTGTTACAAGCTATTTTTTTACTTTCTGTTAGTTTTTTTTTATAGACAAAATATTTTCGTGGTTAAGAGGTAACACTTAGCGTCACAAGCTATTGTTTTTTCCTTGCTGTCAGGTTTATTAGTTTTAGATAAAGTACTTTCATGATGACGTATTTGACAGACTATTTTTTTCTTTCTGTAAAATTCATTTTTTTTAAGACAAAGTATTTTCATGATGAAGTGTGACAAGCTATTTGGTGCAGTGTGAGTTCAAACAGTACAAGTTGTTGTGGTGGTCCAAGGGACTGTGGGTTCACGTTGACGGTCGTTTGTTTCTGTTGCTGATGGTGTGCTGCGGACAACAGCAACAATAAACACAGCAACAAAAGTGATAGTGGAAACAACTACGATGATGACAGTAGCTATAATTGAAACAGGAACATCATCAAATAAAGCTGCAGCAACAACAACAACAACAGCAACAACAAGAACAACAACAGCAACAGCAAAATCACAACGGCATCAAAAAAATTATCAAACCTATTCGAGTACGACAAAAAGAAAGACAAATGATCGGATTAATTCTGTTCCCATGATACTACCAACAATTCCCATGGATTCCGAGTCCACCTTGAATATTGCAAAAAGCAGAGTCGACAATGAATGTTGAGAAAAGCATTGTCGGGGAACCTGCTCTAACGGCCATCTGTCCAAGACAATCGCCTATACAAACGATCACTCCTCCCCCCCCCCTCTTGTGTTTGTTTTGTATTATAATGACACTGGCCAAGACGTCCACCTGTCTAAGACAACCACCTTTCTCCTCCATCCGTGGACGATTTCGACGGTACATCAAAAGGGATCATTCTTTCTGTGTGTGTTTCTTTTCAGAGGCTCCAGCTGACGCCCGATGTAAACATTACATTTGCCGCTCCTGAAAATGGTGGAATTTTGTCATGGGGAGCGGTTCTGGGTAAGTAATAAATATCTTTTTTTTAAAAATATATAAGTCGTATTTTTACCCCCCCCCCCCCCCAATCAACGAACCGTGACTTGGACAAAAAGGTGACATACTTCAATACATTATAAGGACAGACTCCTATTTCCCCAGTCTACTTTCTAAAACGCCCACTTATAACAGAAAGGTTCCTTTCATGGGTCTTATTCACATTAAACATAATTTAACTTTTAAGAATATAATTATGCAGAGTGCCTTCATTATACCGCTGGCCTGCTATTGTCCAGGTAGGATTGTGTCCTAATTACCAGGGGCAAGAGCGTCCATATAAGTCATTCATACCATCATTGACACATTAAAGCTATTCAGTTATTGCTAGGTGGGTGAGGATAACGCAATTGTGTACGCCCATCTAATTATGACTATTCATGTGTGGGCGTCTGTTTATGTAAATGTGTGTGTGTGTGTGTGTTTGTTTGTGTGTGTTTGAGTGTGTGTTTGTGTGTGTGTGTGTTTGTGTGTTTGTGTGCGTGTGTCTGTGTGTGTTTGTGTGTGTGTGTGTCCCCGTGGGTGTTTGTATGTGTGTGTGTGTGTGTGTGTGTGTGTGTGTGTGTGTGTGTGTTTGTGTGTGTGTGTGTGTGTGTTGACGTGCGTGTGCGCATTTACCATGCCGCAACACATGTGTCTGTGTTGAAATCAGTAAGATATTACATTATGTACCTTATCTTATCCGATGTCCAGAAGACCCTTCCTAAAACGTCACTGAACCTAATTCGTAGACACAGTCACCCGGGTACAAAGGCATGGATTCACGTGGGGTGTAACTGACTACGGGCGGTTTGCGGAGATACTTATTGAGGGTTTTCACAGCTTTAACATCTTGACAACGTGCACTTTGATCTTTCGACAACGCTTGAAGACGCCCTGCTCTGAAGAATAATCGTGAATCGTGCTGACAACATGAGTCACTTCTCGCATTCCACAGAAGGTCATATTGGCTAAAAATCGACACTAGGGTCAAATTTGTAGATTTTCAATTGATGGCATATTCTCTAAGTATAATAAGCTTTTTACTATTTCATACTTATTAAATAGTACAATCTTCACCTTTAAGCGTGGTATACCTATTTCCATAGTGCTCGAATCCATGAAGTTACTCATTTTATCAACACGCTTCACAATATAGTTCAGTTCAGGCAGATTTTTAAAATCTGTTTTGTTACATGAACCCCCAAAAGCCTAGCAACAACGTGAACATTATGAGGTGTGCAAATTTGTGTTTCTGATATGTGTATGATAGTTCGCAACGTGCCACAACATTACCTATGCTCTGCTGCTGATCAGATACCTTATTCTAATGTGTTCGCTACAGCCTTTCAGAATCGACCTGACCAGTCTGTTGTAATTAAGTTGAAAACTGAGATTTTGCCCTCTGAATGTACCAGCGTATGAGAGACGAACGGTATTTAAAAATAATCCCAAAACATGTGTCTACATTTGCTGATAATTTTATTTACTAAAATTAGAATAGCCAATACTACAATACTCTGTAAATACAGCTTCTCTGGCTAGGACCCCCCCCACACACACACACATAACAAACCAACAACATCAACAGCATGAAACAAAACCACACAACACAACACTGCACGACATAAAGCAAAACATAACAAACGAAACAAAACAAAACCCCGCGATGTACGAAGTCCGCGAAATATGAACCGTGGTAACAATAATAATAATATGTCGAGGAAATACATGTACTGAGGCTCACTTGATTTCTCTCGTTCTTCGACAGGACACAATATTATTACGCTTACTCGCTTACTTATTTACTTCCTCTCTCCCTGTACCGTCTGTAAACTCTTCATTATTATTTGTAATAAATTTCGTCTATTTTCCTGCCCTTATCAAGACACAGGCTTACTTACTTACCTATCTCCGCCACTAGTCAACGCGTCATTATAAATCAATGTTTATTTCCCCGGCATTATGGGGGGACACAGGCTTGCTTACTTACCTCCCTCAACCCGCAGTATCTATCCGGAGACGTCTCCGACAGAAATAGACCAATCAAAATGCTTTGTGCCTCCGGACCAAGTAAAAAAATCGGGGAGGGGGGGGCTATTTTAACCCATAATTAGATATTTTGCAGTTAGGTTTGAAATTTGAAATTTTCTTGAAAATTATTGATTTACGACAGTTTTTATGGCTATAAGTGTGATCTGCAGCAAACAATAAGCAGTTTGACCCCCAAAGCAGTGCACCTGTGTGCGGGAGTACGTCTCTCCGAATAGTTCCTTGGTGCTCGCCGGAGACGTCTTCGAATATCTTCTGCGCCCTCAACTACCAGTCAACACGTCATTATAAATCAATGTTTATTTCCGCGCCATTATCAGGACACAGGCTTGACGTGGACCAACAACTCCTGGCCTCAGTTCACCGACTGTTTCCGGTACAGCGTCCTTGAACTCTTCCCCTGCGTCTGGCTATGGGTGACGTCAGCCCCCTACGTCTGCTACCTGTTCTCCCAACCCAGACGTCACATGTCCCAGAGACGGCTCTTCTTGGCTCGACTCGTGAGTTGGGGGCCGGGCTGGGTTTTTTGGAGAGGGGTGGGTTGTATTTTTTCTTCTCTTCTCCTTTTTAAAGATATTATTTAGATCTTGTGTGTAAATACAACTTCTCTGGCTAG